CTTTTAAAAACATCATTGATGACAAATTATGTTATGTCTATGGCTAAAAGAATATTTATGAAAATAAAAACAGATTATTTTGCTAAACTCTATGAGCAGCTATTGGCAGAAAAAAAAAAAAAAAAAAAAAAAAAAAAAAAATCAAAACTCAGATCGCATAAATTTACAAGTGTTAGAAAAGATTTAAATAGGATGTTTCATTATTTAATTTTTGGATATAATAGTTCAAAATACTTTGTTTCTTTGTTTTCTTAACCAGCAGTTAAGAATCATTGCCGGTACTTTTCCGTTTTGCTGGTGCAAGGCAATAAAGTCGCCAATAATGGTACAATTGATGCCTAAACGGAATATCCTCGCTGGTAACCTTTTATACGCCTTCATTTTCAAAACAAGTTGCAGCTTGTTTCTTTCAATACTTTTTTGTGATATGGCTAATTACATAGAATTTTTACCAGATAGATACAGTTTTATGTCTAAGGCCATTTTCGGTAATTAAGTCAATTAGGATGCAATCACAGCGCTTACCGAAGCTGAAATATAGAAAGATAAAGTCAAGTTAATTAAATTCATAAATTCTAAAGAGAATGCATTAGCGAAGTAAAGCACTGCAGTTTTACATAATTTCTGAGTAAGCTATTTGTACGAAATGAAATATTCTTGCATTTAAACTTGGTTCCAAATTAAGATTTAACTTGAAATTAATGTAGATAATTACTGAGAGAATTAGATTTTTGTAGAGTAGGTTTATGTGAGATGAGATCGCTTGGGGTCCACGTGAAATGAACCGGCGAATCGGATGTTGAACCATGAAACATAGTAAATTCTTAAATTAATGTCCTTTTACAAATTTATTGTCTTTATTTATTGGCTTTTTATAAAATTTAAAGCGATATTAAAATGTTTATGCCTTCAAAATAAAAAATTCTTAGAACTAATATTTTTTTAACATTTTTATGTGTATACTGTATGTTGTCGCCAATAAAGTCTGCTTGGCGAGATTTGCGCTGGCGAAACGGAAAAGTACCTTTTTTTTTTTTTTCAGATATGCTTAGAATTACTTCTACTTTAAGATGATGTTAAAAATTTTATAGGTTATAATACAAAAATGTTTTCAAAAATCTATAAAAAATATTTAAAAATACAAATTTTTAAAATAGGTAATAAAAAATGTGCGAATTTTATTTTGAATAAACCTAAATTCCAAATTCTAGAAGAAGTAATCAAGTAAGTTTAAAAAAGAGATATCAATAAATATATATCAAATTCAATTAACATTGAGGAGCTAAAATTTTGAGAACTAATTTTTATAAAAGTATTTGTGCGATTTTTTACAAAACTTGGCAGTTTGGCATAATTTGAGTCGCAGAATCGAAACATGGAAAAAAATTGGCATGTCATTTCAGAAAAAGTCTGATTTTGTCTCAAAATACCTATATTAAAACAATGCTGTATATAAATCTAATGCATATCCCAAGTCGTGCTTTTGAGGCATGAAAACACGAGTTGAATTTCGTCAATCGGCCCACTAGATTGGGAGATATAAAACTGTCCCATTTCTTTTTTTTGCGCAGTGTACCTATATTTGATTCTATAATAGTACTTGAACCATTGTAATACATTCACGTGCAAAATGAAGAGAATTTCCACATTATGGCGAATTTATGAAAAACTATTGGACAGATTTTAATGAAATGTAGTATGAATATAAATTTATAACAAAGAAAGATGTACCATTCAAAAGTCATTTTACATACACATGGTATCAGTAAACTTTGTAAGTGCAGAGATGTCAAAACTTCACATTGTGATATTGACTTTGAAATTTTTTTGGTCCAGTATCACAACACATATTTTATCTATATGGTGTCCTCTATGATATGTGACCTTATCATATGATAATGTCTAAGGCAATGAATGAGGTGCGTTTCCGTTTCGCCGGCGCAAATCTCGCCAAGCAGACTTTATTGGCGACAACACACAGTATACACACAAAAAATGTTAGTTCTAAGAATTTTTTATTTTGAATGCATAAACATTTTAATATCGCTTTAAATTTTATAAAAAGCCCAGAAATAAAGTCAATAAATTTGTAAAAAGACATTAATTTAAGAATTTACTATGCTTTCACGGTTCAACATCCTGATTCGCTGGTTCATTTCACGTGACCCCAAGCGATCTCATATCACGTAAACTACTCTACAAAAATCTAATGCTCTCAGTAATTATCTACATTAATTTAATGTTAAATCGGTTGATCTTTAGATTATGGTAACTTGGCGATTTTTTGGCGACCAACTCTCCTACAGCAACCCTCTATTTTTTTTTTCCCGCCGCCATTTTGTCTTCACGAAGTAACGACAAGTAACGACATGTTTCTTTCTTTTATTTACTGAACACTTCTTCCAACAATCTACTAGCCCGAATTACACTTATGCTAGAAATTTTATCTAACAAAACTGCTTAATCATGACAAATATTTTACTGCTAAATTGGAAAAAAGTGCACAATACCATACTCCTTACGCGTTTTTCAAAATAACACATACACATAAACCATGTACACGTCGACTTATTTTTACTTAAAAAAACTTCCCAGAATTACACAAAAATGGCGTTGCGTACACTCTTCACTATATCCATGTACACTGCTTTTTCCGCATAAATTAGAAAAATTTCACGAAAATACACGAAAATTTTGTGAATCTTTAAACCCGGGAAAAAGAACATATATGAAATTACCTGATCGTGAAAAAATATATACCCTTTCCAAATATGAACATTTCCACATATAAAATAAATAAAATATCCAAAAACTTTTACCTCTAAATCATCTATTATATTGTACACGTCACCAACGAATTCATACCGCAAGCATTACAAATACTTAGTGTCAAATATTTAAATTATTTCCATGCACGTTTACTAAACTAAAACGTATACCAAATTCCTACAAACATAAAATTCACAAAATAACTATCATTTAATTAAAATATAATTAAATTCAAAAAAACACTACTTAAAATATAATAAGCACATCATTAAATTAATAAAAATTAGCTTACAATCCTAATTACTTTAAACTAAATCATTGCTAATAACAATTTTCCCAATAATACCAAATTACTTTACTTCCACCTTACATTTAAAACAATGCATAAAAATAATATCCTCAAATAATTAAAAATACTAACTTACCTAATCTTCTTCAGAATCTTGCTTACATGCTGGATACACTTTTATTATGGATTCAATAAAATTATTGAACAATTTTTTCTGCGAATTTTTCCTCTAAATAAAAAGCAAAATTCTCTTTATCACATCTAGAATTCACTTTAGACAGCGTCATACAATCCCAAAATTATTCAACCCTACTTCACACAACACACAATGAAGCTTAATACAAAATAATATACAGCCACAGATATTTTTCCAAATTCCCCCCTTTCCGATTAAAGAACCGTAATTCGTCCATTAATATCTCATGACATATCCCATGATCTCTCGTTTACCTCACACAAAATAATGCGTAATCGGAACTGAGTATGCTCCATTATTACCAAAGTCCCAGGTAGTAACCTTTATCGCTTCCAAAATGTCGCCAAAGTACCAGTTACCATATTCTAAAGATCAGCCTTGGCGACTTTATCCTTGCGTCGGCAAAACGGAAAAGTACAAAAAAAAAAAAAAAAAAAAGATTTTGAACAACAGGTAATTGTTCTAATCTATTACTGCTTTGTTAGCCATATTCAGCGGACCATATGCCCATTAAAAAAAAAAAAAAAAAAAAAAAAAACCTCTTTTAATAATAGGATTTTATAATCTTAAAAATAATCCACTGCTTGTTGTTCCATAGAAGGAAAGTCCCACTTTTATTCATATTTTCAAAATACATGGAAAATTCAAAAATTTAAAAAAAAAAAAAAAAAAAAATTCAAGAATATCATGCGATAAATTTTCTGAAGAAAAAAATGATGAGATGAGGGATGACCTAACAATATGTTACGTTTTTTTCATCACTTTATGTTATCAAAATAACCATGGACAAACATGATCACATTAAGTGATATCTTATGCAGATCCAAATTTATTTTATTATTTATTACCACAAAATGTCCAAAAAACTAATATTCTTCCTTCCTTTTGGACTTCTTAACATCAGGAATATATTTGCAGTGCTTAATAACATGTCAATTGATACTGATTTAGGTACACTACACACAGCCAATTCATTTAACAACAGGCTGAGGTGATAATAAATAAAATACAATATGGCAACTGCATTTTTCTCCTTGCAATTTTCTTTTCCATCTAATTTATTTTACTGTTAAACTTATAAGATACAATCTCATATACGCATTATAACTTTACTATATATTATTGGCAAGCATCCCATGAACAGCTATTAGCTTTCATAGAATTAGAAATTTCAGGATTTCCTATAGTGTAGTGGTTCTCAATCTTTTTTCCCCATGCATTCTTTTGAGAATTGTTATACGATCATTCCACCCCTCTTTTCAAAACTCGAAAAACACATATGCATGTATTTAAATTTAGATTACTATTTAATGTGCTTTTTAAATTACACAAAAAAGTAGAGAAAATGTTGATAGATACTAAAATTTAAATAGTAGTTTTTTATATTCATGAACTAAAATTAAATACTTAAAAGTAAATAAAAGGCTGACCGAATCTCCCCCCCCCCGCGGTTGAAAACCCCTGCTATAGCGCATGAGACTACCGTCACTAACGCCCACAATGTTCATGGCTCAACTGGATTTCAGTTTTATATGCGCAAACAAAAGTACTAAATCGATAAATGAATTACATGTTTCTTTATTTATAATTACATATTACTTCGAATTTAAGAGAATACCCATTGTACCTTTTTATCTTTAATTCTCACATTTAGTATAAAAATTCTACCAACGAGTTCTAAAATAGGAAAATTTCAGTACTTATTTAAGCAGATTACAATTATAACATCAGAATATATTCATTCACCTGTACGTGGTGCGGGCCCTCGAAACTGTGTTCTTAGTGGAAGGAGTGCCATATTACCAATAAGCACATCCGATTTCAATTGTGAATGGTATGCCTAAAAAATTTCAAGTATTACTTATTTTATGAAGAAAAACAAAACAAGTGGAATAACATTTCAGTAAAATACATGTACAAAAAAGTGTTCAGTATTTACATTCGAACATACAGGCATTTTCATGAACTGGATTGACAGCACCAAACTACTATTTTAGTTATTCCAAACGTAAACAAACTTTCCCACACGCCCTTCCTGAATGGAAGATTTGCGGTACCAAGTTGAGTTTTAAATTTCCTGCTGAAAATAAATGAAAAAAATTTTACTGATTTTTAGGGGGAGGCGCTGCGATCACCGAGGCAAGCGGCTGCACATTGGCAGCGTTCTGTAAAAAAATGTTAAACATTCCTTTCCCCTTAGTGATTATCAATTAAATTACTTTCAAATAGTGTGTTTTCTACAAAACTTACACGTTTTCAAAAGATTTTCGGCTCCGATGTTGATGAGAATGAAACAGCGGACAATGGGAGCATATACTACGAAAGCCTGGAATTTTAAGATAAGTACCCTTCTTTCATCTAAACTAAATCAAATTTCTATAAATAAGTGCCTTAAAATCAAAAAAGTTTAATAATCAGTTTTTAGCATTAAACAATACTTGAAATTGCTCATTGCTGGTGGCTTTCTTTGTGTTTACAATTCCAAACAGACGCCAACGTTATCAGTTCACGTCTGTCACTACTTACAAAGGCCCCACACCTTATCTTGTTTTCAGGAATCTCGTGAGACAGAAAATTAGGGATTTGGGGCATCGCGCTACTTCCCTCTCGGATCTTCTGGTTTCTCTTTTTTTTTTAGATTGTTTAACTATATTTTCGCCTTTAAAGAATATTAGTACACCTTACCGATTTTTTTTTTTATCATACTGTTCCTTGCTATCTGTTAAATGTCCATATGTAAGGGATGGATTGTTCTTCACTGCCTTAAATAAATTCTTAGAACTATGAGCTTATATAAATAACAGTGTGCCTCATTGTGTTATCCTAGCATTAATTAACTAGTAATAAATTATGATAGTAAAATAATTAATCTTGTAATAAATTATGATAGTTAAATTAATAAATTTAATAAATACCATTTTTAATTTGTGTTTTTAATACATATACTCAGTAGATATATATATATATTTGCGTGTGTGTGCGGTTGTGGTCTTGTATTCTATATGGCTGTATGTTGTTTGTCTGCTGCTGTTTTTTGAAAAATGTATGAAAATGTTGAAAACGAAAATAGCATAAGTTACTTTAGTTAAATTAATATATACTTTTGTTTGATGACTATTGTTAATATCTCAGGATGCAAGCATACATATTACTTTATATTCCATGCTAAATACCTTGATACGAAGCATTTTAACACCGTCAATATTTTTTCCCCTTCCCAGTAACACATCTATTCACCATTACCAAACACACTCACTGCACACACACACCTGTGAAACATTATTTATTGTAAATGAAGACAGATTCTTCTCCTTTTAACTACACTCATGGACACAATCGTATTTTAGGATATTTTCTAATTCTTTTCCTTTTCTTTCTATTGGCCCTTTTTTTCCCCCTCTGTTATTTTTGGGCCATTTATTTTAAATTTTATTTTGTCCCATCATTCTTTCTGGCCTTTTGAACTCGTACAAAATGTACGAATTTCCTTTTTACTCTCCTCAAATACGAAATTGCCCCCCTTTCTGTATACCTTTCCTTCGCACCTATACTTGATTTTTCGCCCATCGGTGCAGAAAGACTTAGCGGGTGCAAAACAAGACATCTATCTACATTGTCTGTCTGTCTGTCTGACTGATTTTTAGGCATCTGACTGTTTTTAACACCCCAATTTTGAAAAATAGTAGAAATAAATCAATCATTGGTGTGATTTATCAGATTATTACTTGAAATGGTGAAACAGAGAATAAACGCAGAGTAAAACTTTCGGTTTTTTTCGCACATTTTGGGTTAAAAATGTGTTAATTTTCAAGGTTACTAAATACAGGGTCTCCCAGAAAGGACTCCTGTTTTCAAGACTAAAAAACTCAAAACGAAAGATTTGTAGAAGAATGAAAAAGAAGGTACGTTTATTGAGACAGCTCTAAAAATCTGATACAGAAGTTTAACATTTAGTTACTAAAATTACCAATAGGTGGTGCTGTAGTCACACTAAATTTTAGAAAAATGTAACAAAGCAAGCAGTCACTGCAATCGCGGCCGATGCTATTCGTACCAGTGGTGCGATATTCGCACCACCATTAACCCCGCATGCGCATTGAATTGTCAGATCCGTAACGGATTCCACGTACGCGAACAAGGAGGTTAGAATAGAAGGAGGGAGGGTTCGCAGTTTCCTCCACTATCGGGGAATGAAACTCCGCCGAACAAGCGGCGTCCATGTTTGTGACTTCAAAACATTGCATTACGGCAGTGATATGTACGTGTTTCTAAGCTGTTCCGTGCATTTATTTTCCAGTAAAAATATGTTAAATTTATAATGAAATCCCTCGCTATTGTTGAATTTTTTTTTTAAATTAATAAAGATGATATCCATAATTTACTATGTACAGCAAATTATTAAGAATAGTTCGAAATCTAAATGCATGCGCATAACATTAAAGCCTTTAAAAAATGATGTTTCTGCATATTTCACGTATTGCTTAGGTTAGAAAATAAATCTTAAAAATAAAACAGATTTATGTGAATTCATTGATTTCAGTTTATGCGCATTTCATATTTATTAATCTCAAAGAAACTGCCTTTAATTAAGTTTTACAGAAATACATCTATATAAGTTTTTGGATACATCTTTCCACATGTTCAATTGTGTAAATATTTTACTTAATTTTATCACTATACTGCCCAGAAATTTGTAAGTTTATGCAAAAAATTTTAACAACAGAACAGTTATCTTAACTTAAAAAAATGAATAATAATTAATATATAAAGAAAAGCAATACTTTATTTAACACCTTTACAATTAATAAAATAGTAACAATTGATTTCTTACTTTTCATGAAAGTTATAAAACGAATTAACTAAAACGTTCAAATTATACAATTTAAATCCTACCATATAGCATTGTATCTCAAGGAACGAAGATACCAGCTATAAACAGAAATATTAAAATGTATTTAATATATTTTGATTATAGTTATATTAAATAACCTATTTTAAGTCCTTTTTTTTCACATCTGGAAAGAAAACCACATGACATAGTTGTCATATACATAAAAAAAGAAAATTAATACTTACGTGTGGAAAAAATAATGCCCGGAATTTTTTTCGAGAATCTATTGTGCATCCATATGCAATACAAGCTGACATGCTTCAAAAAGAAAAGAAAAAATGTTCACGGTGATAACAGGAAGATGGCCGCCAAGCTTCACCGTTTGATTTGAACCTTCCCTCCTTCTATTCTAACCTCCTTGTACGCGAACTGCCCGAATCTTTTTTTTTAAAGGCGGGTTACTACCTCGGCGTAGTTTATCCTTTTTTAAGCGTTGGCGACTTTCAAAAGTTTAGAAAGGAAAAAGGGTTCCTTTTCTTTTAAAAAGAAAAAAACATTTCTTTTTATTAAAGTATATAAAAAAGAAGTAGATTTTTCTGTTCGCAACGTTTATCGTTTTCCTGAACGGTTGGAATAGTTTAAATGACTGATTGGGGGGGGGGTATCTTGTTTACATTTTTTGTACTTCTTAGAATACATTTAGCTTCAAAGATGTGTTTTGCGCATTCAAGACTTTAATTCATTCTTCTTTGAAGATTTTCGTCAGAGAAAAGATAATAAAAATTAGACAGAGGATTTCTGTGTAGAAAATTTAGACATGAAATGACTTAAAAGTGATTAACTATTAAATGAATCATATAATATTGGTTATCGACAATTCTGTATACCTGCTTATTTTTTTTATGGAAGTACTTGGCATTTTCAGGACACAAAAAGTACTTAAAAAAACTTTGAAATATTAGTACAAACACATTAATAAATTAAATTGAAATAAATAATGATATGTAATTTAAAAGACAGAAATAATTTAATGTAAGAGTTTTAGATTTAAAAATTTGCACACACAATCGATTTATCAGATTATTTCATAAATAACTTTGATTTTGAATATAGCATTTTAACCTATAAACATGAGTGGATACTGAAAAAGTTATGAGTATATAAAAATATTATAATTTTCACTAAGTTTTCTTATTGAATAATAATTCTGACAGTCCAATGCTATAAGACTAGGGTCTAAGTTTGCATAAAAATGTCTCTGTTAAATAAAAGAATTTAAGTAATTTCTGTAGCCTTCTTGTCAATAATTAAAGATTTTTTAACTAATTACACATCCTCTCTTGCAATTAGAACCATAATTAAATACCTATTTTATCTAATCATTTCCTGAACATTATCATGTATATAGATTGACTTCATCTTTGTAACCAATAATTATTACTTACAAATTATTCTCTTGCTGGTGAACATTTAACAACCCTTTCTATTGCTGAGTTAGGGTTAACAATCTTCTCTCTCGCTATCGCCTACCTTATGGAAATCGGCGTAAAATGCTGGTAACTGGGCTGATTGTGCCCATGCGCGAAAGTAGGTGGTTAAATAGCTTCTTAGCTATTCGCACCGTCGGTGCGATTAGCCACTGTGCTGCAATCACACAATCTTTTCAAAATGTCCACCTTTCGCAGTACAGAGGTGGTGCAAACGAAGAACGAAATTTTCACACATCTTCCGTAGTGTGTCAACGGAAATGTATGCACATGCCCCACAGACAGACTCTTCAAGCTCATCCAGTGTTGCAGGCTTCACGATTTAACAGTGGAACTGTCCGCAGACTGGTCACTTTGGAGTGATATCCAAACAGTAAATTTGGACGAGCATGAAATCATGCATTCCATTGGACAATTCCAATGAACTGCTACTGGAATGTCACAGGTTAAATTACAGTGCTACGGCAGCAAGGCGCAGTTTTCAATCCTGATTTAACGTTGCAAAAGGTCCTGATTCGAAAACTATTCGTATGTTTTTCGATAAATTTCAACGAACAGGAAGCGTATATGATGAGTTAGTGCGAAATGTTGGTCCCAAGCACTCTGTAGTTACTCTTGAAAATGTCGCGACTGTTTCTACACTTATCCAAAAAAATCCGAGGAACTCCACCTGAAAATTTGCAGCAGAATCCTACTTAAAGCGATCCGGGATCCAGTATAAGACTTTAGACCTACAGCAGGACCGACCAATCAAATTGTAATTAGAGGCCTCCCG